AGGAGTCACTCTCATTTATAATCGCGGCATCGTCTGATAAAATTAACATGCATCTACACTAAAGAGCGGCTATGCGGCTATTTTGGCTAGATTACTTTTTTGTCTCATGCAGCGCACTGCCTGCGTCTGAGTAACAAACTAAAAAACACAACAAACAAAAAAGTGCATGTGATATTAACAGACGAACTACGCTCATATTTATAATTCCAAACAATCAGTAAGCGATAGGTGCTTGGAAACGCTGTTTTGTACTCGTTTATTGACGAGTCAGCTGCGGTGCTGCCAACTGAATGTGCAGCTTCTCTGCCGCTCACTGCACAGAACAGACGCCGAGATAGGTGACACTTCTCCAGGAAAGTCAGACCTCGCGCTCACGGGACAGCACTGGCGAAATCTTCCAACTGAACCATAGCTAAGGTTTATCCAAAAAAGTCGCTAGGTTTGTTAGTATGAATATTCTATGGGAAAAAGCCGCTAAAAGGGTCTGAAAGTTGCTAAATCTAGTGCTAAAGTCGCGCTCGTGTGTGTGAGACGCGGGAGCTGATGGCAGGGGGCGCTGGATATTTGTGGCGGTCGATGTGGATATCGTGGATGAGTTCTTCTGTGTCTTCACGTTCTATTAGTTCTACAGCTTCAGTTTCGGAGCTTTCACGCTTAGTAACACATACAGCTGTTCCCTCACCACAGTGCAACAGTGAAAAGAGACCCCTTTCAAACAGTGTCGCGTTCTGAACATTGTTTAAGCGACATACACCGGTATTGCGGTATTTTAAAAATTCATATCATAACAAAAATAAACACCGGTATTCGGTATGAACCGGTATACCGCCCAGCACTACGCACAGCCCATGTCAAAAGATATGAGAAGTGTTTTGTCAAGAAGAAAAGTCAGAATTGTGAGATATAAATGCAGAAAAGAAAAGAAACGCAAAAAAAGTCAGAAGTTTTCATCTTGCAATTCTGACTTTTTGTTCAGCCAAGAAAAAATATATAAAGGTAATTGTGACCTTTTATCTCACAATTCTCACTTTTTCCCTCACATTTACGTTTATATCTCACAATTCACTTTTTTTTCTCAGAATTCTGTGTTTATATCTTGCAATTCTGACTTTTTTTCTCTTAGAACTGCGAGAAAAGAAAAGTTAAAAAATCAGAATTGTGAGATTAAAAGTCGCAATTATACCTATTTTTTTTTTATTCCATTGTGGAAACAAGCTCCCACAGGAGAGAACTTGTGAGTTGTGGTTCACCAGTTGAGAACCACTAAGACATATAATGTTAATGAATGGGCCGATCGAAGCAGTCTGAACAGTGCATAAGCTCCTCATTCTTTATCTACAGAGGAAGAGTTTTTGCGTTCTCAGGCCACATTATTGGAGCAGGTGCACAATCTGCAGCCTCTTCTGGACAGCAACCACATTAAAGGTCAAACACTGACTGTTGCTATACTAGTCAAATATGAAAGGACCTTTTTCTTTCAGTATGACCGAGGCCATTTTTAACAACGTTGTGTGTTCTTTTGGCATCACAGCGGTTCCAGAGCTGACCACGAAAGTGCAGCGGTTGTCACAAGTCCACATTAAACAACAGGTAACAACACATTTAACTTGTTTGGTTTTTACCTCCATGCAGGTGGAGTAGAGTAGGGTTTTTGTTTTTTTAAGTATACGTGACCCTGGAGCACAAAAGCAGTCTTAAAGGTGCAATAGGCGATTGTCTTCAGAAACATTTTTTGTTATGCTGGTTGAAAGTCTCTTCACATCCCGATAGCAATTATTAAGTTAAGTGGTCTAAACGTATTTGTCTGTATTTATATATTCTGTGGAAGGCGTAGGATCAAGAAATGTTCGTCCAATCAAAACGCTCGGTCCGAGCGTTTTAATATGCTTTCCTACCTGCCTGTCAACGTATGTATTTGCATACCTCTGCACACCCTGTTCGCGCAGACAGGATATGTCATCAGCACGTTCACGCACACTGTGCAGACAGAGCGAGAATGGCAGGCAAACATCAACAACCCGATCTTTCTTCCTGGTATTGTAGTACTTTTAAAATTTTCTCACCGACAAATAGTTGTAGCCAAATATTGTCTGATCCTAACAAACCACACATCAATGGAAAGCTTATTTATTCAGAGATGATGTATACATCTCAATTTTGAGAAATTGACCCTTATGACTGGTTTTGCGCTCCAGGGTCACATATATTAGCATCCATCACTAAATGAGACCATGTTGTGAAACATGCTGATTCACATTCCTATGTATAATAAATTATGCAGGACCAGAATGAAGAATTATCTGCTGAAGTGAAGAGGCTGTTTGAAGAATACAACAAAATGGTATCCTTAGTTGCGGTGAAAGACTCCTATTTAATTATTGTACAGAACTCCCTGCAGCTAAAAACAGCACACAGTAAGCTCATTCTTGAACATCTGAATTATTTCGCATGAATGCCTTACTGTCCTTAACTTCCTCCACAGATGTTTCTCTTATCAAAGCAGTTTTCACAATGGGATGAAACTCTGCGGAAGCTGGAAGGACCCAAGCAAGGCCAGCAGATAGACTAGGATGCTAATGCTTAGATTGATGGCTTGTTGTAAAATCTTGCATTTTTCACAATTCATCACCGAAATGATTAATAAAACAGCACTGTCGTTCCTAAACATACCTTGTTATAAGTAAGTGTTGTTTAAGGTTTTGACCTCCCCTTAATCTAAATCTTGAGTCATTATGTACAAATATGGTCATCTTACGGTGTTATAAATGATTATATGCTCATTACATTTGTGTTTACAGAAACATTTCTTTGCTTGGAAAATGTATTCCAACCATTATCCTCTACGTAAACTCGTTTTGCTCTTTAATTTATTTATTCCATTATTCCAGCGATTGTGTATGAGGGTGGTTTCTTAATGCCTTCAGAAAAGTTTCACTATCTGCAATAACCATAAATAAAAGGAAGTGCCGCTGTAGTATTTATGTTGCATTTGTCCTTTTTTAAATACAAAAATACATCTAGTGTTTATCTTTTTATGGGTGACTGAATAACACAACCAAACCTTCTTTAACAACTTAAAACATTACAGCCTTACAGGAGATATTAATTAATTCTTGCTAATTGAACGAAACAAGTAAATGAACAATGGTGTAATGTATTGAACTTTTGACACTAGATTTAGTAAGTCATTCTATCAATAATTGATTTTTCCACGAAATAGCCGAGTAATCGCTTCTGATTTTAGCAAGGTTTTCACTATGCTTTTTTTGAGGAGTCTTGTTATTGCTTATAAAGCTTATAAAGTGTTAAGTAATCAGTACAAATGAAAGACATCTGTGAAAATCCACGTCATTACGAACAAAGTTTCATTTGCAGTGATGTGTATAGGCGTGCACAAAAATATGTAACTTAATTTATTGACCACTGCTTTTTCTAGAGAAAATCTGGGTGATGCTTTAAACAACTTGCATTTATTGACAACATAAATTGTAATTTGCATTGAGCTAAATGGATCTTTTTTGTGATCCTGTTGCAGAAATTTTTTTCTTTTAAAGGCTACAAAAATTGTTTTTTATCATGAACAACTTACATTTTTTTTTAAACCAATTTTTATGGTAAACAATACTTTTTTTTTGTCAATGTTTAAAAAGTAAATTTATACAAAAAGCTCATTTTAACTTAATATATGCATGTGGATAATAATAATAATATAAGACATGCTTTATATCAGGGCTATTCAATTGGCGGCCTGCCAATCATCTTCATCAAAAACACACAATTATGCCAAAAATACAATTTATAGTTTATGTGAAGATTGTTTTAAGTTCACTATCCTAATACAGGGAGAACAGGTTTTGCATTCAGTATTCCATCCTTAAACATTTCTGTTAATAGGAGAACATCAGATCATTTATCAGTATACACAGTAGAGATGATGGCAATAGCAACAGCACTACAGTGGATAGAGGAGACTCAAATCAAAAAGGTTATACTTTGTACAGATTCATGTTCGGCATTAAAGTCATTGCAATCATTCACATCTCATAGTAGACAGGATATAGTAAATGAGATATATGAAAATCTGTATAGATTTAAGAATATAACATCATGATAATATTTATGTGGATACCAGCTCATACGGGGATAAAGGGTAATGAAAAGGTTGATGGATTAGCAAAGCAGGCATTGGAAAACGAGGAGATCATGAATATCTCACTTAGTAAATATGAAGCAAAAGCAGTAATTAAAGCATATACCACTAAGGAGTGGCAACATAAATGGGATACAGGAAATACAGGACGTCAACTTTATGAAATACAGCGAGAAGAAACTCTGGTTCACACTCCAATACAGTAGGTGGCGATAATGCACCTTAACATTGGTGCTACCCGCCATAAAACAAGAAGAAGAAGAAGAAGAAGAAGAATAGGCTACTTAGTAAAGAGATGCCATTAAACATATTTAAAATATGGGTAGTTTCTAACTACATTAATTTGGAGGTTCAATGTGAAATTATGACAATATATTAATATGCAATTAATCATGATGAACTAACTACATGAAACTAACTGAATAGCCCTGCTTTATATTTTCCACATCTCATTATATTATAATATCATTAATCTCAATTCCACATGGTTGCAAGTAGTTTGTTTCTATATTGCATATCAGTTCTACACATCTTTACATCTACATCAGATGTGTTGAACTACTAGTTTGAAAATGTTCTAGTTCATGTTTACAGCATGAATTCTAGTGAAAGTATGACGCACAGCCCCGCCCCTCCGGTGCGAACTGGTCACGTGGAATACAAACGGGCCAATAGGAACGCGCGTTTAAGGGGGCGTCGCGAATTTTGAAACGGTTGCTCAACAAAACATTGGATAAATCCTACCGTCAAAGTTTCCTCCTTTCTCTTTCTAAGTATACTGCTTTAAGATACTCTAATATCGGTCCAAAATGCGTACAGTGCGATTTAGTGCGTCAAGATGTTGATTGTCAATAACTAAAGCGATAATACACGATTGTCAACGAGAAATGTTCTGTTGTAGAGTGAGCTTAGCCGGATAGCTAGTTGCTAGTTTAGCTGTTAGGCTAATAAACACAGCAAGTTAAAAATAATTATATCAAAGAATGCATTTGATGAGAGTTAAGATCTAGTTAGTAGGATAAAGAGCTGAAAGGGCCCCAGACATGGATGACGCACTTTACTGTGTGACTTAATATCATCTTTGAATGGTGTTTTGCCCATAAAGAGACCCAACATTGATAAGTTATCTAGGTTTGTGCAGTTTGAATACTTTAAGGTCTATTAAACATCAAGGATGGGATGAGACATGTTTGGAATGACTGAAGTATGGTGTCGTCTTCCTGAAGATGTCAGTGCAGTACAGTAGGTGTTGTGTTGCTGTGTGCTGTGTTGTTTAGTGTGCAGAGATGGATGAAGAAGAGAGCACAGAGCGACAGATGCAGATCGCCATGCTGTGTCAGCGGCTGGCCAAGATGAAGAAGTTATACAATGATGGTAAGAACTTCCAGATTTGGGTCATAATTTTGCCCACACTTTAAAGGGGTCATATGATGCGATTTCAATTTTTCCTTTCTCTTTGGAGTGTTACAAGCTCTTGGTGCATAAAGAAGATCTGTAAAGTTGCAAAGACTAAAGTCTCAAATCCAAAGAGATATTCTTTATCAAAGTTAAGACTCTGCCACGCCCTCCTAAAACGCCTCGTTCTAACAACATATTCTGTTACACCAAATACACAAAATAATGATCTTTAAAATAGCATCATATGACCCCTTTAAAACATGGATATATTTGGGAATTCTAGGTCTGGGAATGTTGTGGAAATGAATACAATCTTGAGAAGTCATGAACGTTCCTGTAATTCCAATATAAATGTTTGTAAATATGCCCGGCTCGGAAATATTTCTTCTTTCAGAAAGCGATCTCTGAAATGTTTAGTAATGATTCTGATCCAATAATCACGAAAGAATGCAAAGGTCAAGGAAATTCATTGGCCAAAACAAGAATCCTGGGTGTTAGTCAAGCAGAGCAGAACAGTATCGGCTTTTCTTCCATACAGATGACACAGATTACATCAACCAGGCCATCAGCTCAAACTCACCCGACACCTGCCGGACGCTTCTGACCAATCTGGAGAGGAAAGGCAATCCTCAAACGGATCCCAGCCTGCTCACTAAACTCATCGACTGCTACACGCGTGTCTTTTCCAGCATGCCGTTGGGCAAGTACAGTCAGATTGAGAGCTACGCCAAGATGCTGGTCAGATTTGCAGAGTTAAAAACGTAAGTCATCTCCTGTTTCACTGGGATTTGTAATTCTAATTTCATTATTATGGATGTTCTGTACATCATGATCTGTTTCATTCAAGAATAGTTCACCCAGATATGTAACTTGTCATTATTTACTCTCTTATTTTGTTCCAGTTCTGTAAGAATTTCTTTGTGGAACACAAAAAGAGAATATTTAACAACTTTTTTACATTAGGAAATATACTTAGAAAATAAAGACAGATTTTTAGTTTTGGGTGAACTATTTTTTGTTATAAATAAACAGATCTGTTTTAAACTGGCAAATATTTTAGTGCATTTTTTTTTTTTTTTTAGTCTCTCTTTGTCAACAGCATCCAAGATGTAAATGATGCACAGGCTAGTTTTGACATAGCGAGATCGCACTGTAAGGATTTTGCCTTTGTTCACATTGCTTATGCTCAGTTTGAGCTTTTGCAAGGTAAGGAGACTTAAAAATTTAAATAAAAATCTAAGGCATGTAGTAAGCTTCTGCCTCTGTCTGAAATGAATCGCTAATTGAAAACATGGCCATTAAGTTGCTTTCATTCTCCCCAGGCAACTTTAAGAAATGCACTTTGATTCTTCAGAAGGCTTTTGAAATGAATGCTAAACCCAGGCGCGTTCTGGAGGCTGCCGTGAGGAATCTAAACGCAGGCAAACGCCAGCTCCTCTCGCATGAAGATAAGGAGAACATTTCAGGTTAGTTCGCATCATGGCGACTACTTTTTACTATGCTTTTGTATGGAAGCCTGTTATAGAATAAAAAAATAAACATAAATAATTAAATAAAAAAAGGAAATTGCGACTTTATCTCACAATTGGCAATACTGAGAAAAAAAACAGAATTGCAAGATATAAACTAGCACCTGTGATTAAAAAAATGTCAAATGTGAGATAAAAAGTTGCAAAATTTTAGAAGGGGGGGGGGATTCCCCTTTAGGTGGCTCTTATTGGGGGGATTCTTTTTTTATTTGAGCGGGGAGTTAGGGTATTTTTTTTTAGACATTTTTAAAGTACAATCATCCAACCTAAATGTTTTGTCACCCAGTGTGTTTGTGTTTTACAATTTATGATGTTGTTGATTCATATTTATATTGTGAGGAAGATACATAAAGAACTTTGATTTCAAACTCTGAATTGAATTTATTTTAACTAAAAAAGACAAGTAAACGGTGAGTAATAAAAAAAGAATCGATAATCGCATCATATGACCCCTTTAATGACAGACAGCAGCAGGTTTATTTAGGTTGCTGTCTCTTTAAGACCTTACGCACGGATCTAACTGTTACACAAAAGTTTTGTTTCTCAACTGTTTACATTCACTTAATAGCCTATATATGTTAAGTATAAATCGACTGTTTACGTGAATACTCATCAAGATGGGCATTTTGACATAATTTTGTATGTGTTTGGCCGTTTACGCCAGTAAGGCTCAACACAACTTTATTCTGTAGTCGCGCGCTGTCAGATGCGGCTCTATGTGTGCGTGCTTTGGCTGTGAGCTCACAGAAAGGGGTCTCACAGAGAGCGCGCAAGTACTGAATTTAGCACTTGAATGTTTAAAATTGTAAGACTCAAAAGCACGTGCAAATGATACATTCCGTCATCTGTCCTGAGCGTTTTTCACTCTGAAATATTTGCGGGAATTTCCCACGTTACATGTGCGGAAACTGCGGGAATCAGTAGAACACTGCGCAATGCCGCGCTGAAATTCAAGCCCTGATAAACGATAATTTATTTAAAGAAAAAATGTGATGGTTTGCTGTAAGCATTTTGTTACATTTTATTAAAATCCTGTAATGTATACTTTTGCTTTCTATAAATCAAGCATGCATTTTAAATGCCTTGTGAAATATCTCTAGTGTCTGCACATGACGATGCACACGAGTCTGTGAGAAGCAGCTCCAGAAGATCAGACGGAACATGTGACCTGCAGACCAGCAGCACTTTTCACCAGGGGTATGAAAACTTCTGTTCTTTCATGGGAAATTCATGAGAATTTTGCAGGCCATAGCGAATCAAGCAACATATTTAATATTATTAAAAGGCTAAGAATAACCACATTTAGTAAAAAAAAAAAAAAAAACACATGATGATACCACATATTGTTAAAAAATATTGTTCGAAAGTTTAGGGTCAGGAAGTTGTTTTTATTTATTTATTTAATTTTTATTCAGCAAGGATGCATTAAATTGATCGAGTGCCAGTGAAGACATTAAAAAAAAAAAATGCTGCTATTTTAAACTTTCTATACATCAAAGAATCCTGAAAAATAAAATGTATCGCAGTTTCCACAAAAATATTGTGCAGCACAACTGTTTTCAACATTGATAATAATCAGAAATGTTTCTTGAGCAGCAAATCAGCATATTAGAATGATTTCTGAAGGATCATGTGAGTAATGATGCTGAAAATTCAGCTTTGATCACAGCAATCAATTACATTTTAACAAATATTCACATAGCAGTTATTTTAAACTTTAATAATATTTCACAATATTATTGTTTTTGATCAAATAAACCCAGGCTTGGTGAGCAGAAGAGACATTAAAAAAAACTTTCTTACCCCAAACATTTAAAACACTTAATTTATTTATGTACCTAATGCACAATACTTACAATTTACAGCCTGTTTTTGGTAAGGAATAGGTATTTGTCATGACAGAAATTTTTACCATGAAAGAATTGATGTTAACAAACGGTCTGCATTCCAGGAGGGATCAGAAGTTCAGTCCACAAGATGAGAACATGCCTGTGTGGAGAGCAGGGTCACAACAAAGAAGAAGAATAGCCATGGTAAGGTGTGACAAGAGGTCAGGCCGTCGGCAAACAACACTTGAAAGTGGAAATGCATATACTTACCTTCCTTCTTTCCTATATGTTCCTTCCTGTAGGCAGAAAGAGTTCCCATGGTGCCGCTCTCTATCCCTGAAAACGAGAGCAGTGACTCTGACGGTGCTCAGAAACCAGAAGCTCCTGTTGCACACGGCGGTGCTTTCTCCAGGTGAGAGATGTGAATCTGTGCAGGGGTGGCGATATGACCACAAATAGATATCAGTCATTTATTACTGTAATCCAGTGAATTAAGTACACCAGGGATGTAATTGTTCCCTTTTTTTTATGGATTTCCATATTTTCCTACAAGAAGCATGACCCACGTGAATTGCGTAAATGCAAGAGAAAAAATGGCTAGGTTTACAAATACATTTAAAATATGTATTTTACAAGTACAATTGTATTTCACACTACAATAGTATTATTGCACCAGTAAATCTTTGTTTAATTTTTATAATTTAAATAATAATTTTTATTATTTTTTAATCATTAATTAAATAACAATAATAGCACTTTCCACTCAGTGGTGAATATGTTATAGTTGATATGCACACACATATTGTGCAGGACATGTTCCATTGTATGTTTGTATGTGTTGCTTTCAGATGTAAAAAGCCCCCAATGAGAGTGATGCCAACTACTACTGTACTGTCACTACTACCCTATAAATGCTTTAGCAAAATCTCTGCTACAAATATACTCCAGCGACTTAAGACTGCTTTTGTGCTCCAGCGTCACATATGTCATCACTGGTGTGTAGCGCATCTACTGTAAAAGTGTTAAACTCTCTCATTTTATAGTCACACTGTTTTAAATTTCTTTGATCTTTATCAAGCTTTAATGTTTGATTTTCTCCAGGCAAACAAGCGGTTCAAATGTCCGCTCCACATTCCCAATGTGCTCCTCAAAGAAAGGCACTCCTGATGAGGACTCCTACAGTCTATTAAACCTGAAGGTATAAGAGTCTTCCTTAAAATACTTAAACTCACCAGTGCTGAGAGTTAGTTAGAAAGAAAGTAAACATCTATACAATCCTGAATAGTGTCGTTCTGTTCTGTGCAGCCTCCCGTGATCAGTCCAGCTCATCTGAGGGGAAACCCTGAAGAGGGCGACACCATCACAGCACTTCTACAAAGAGCAGAAAGAAAAGAAACCACTAGAATGGAAGGTAATTCTTAACTAATATTATATCAATTATATGTTGACCCAGAATACTTTGGTTTTAGTCTGCTTCTATCACACGATGGTGGCTTTGCTCAAACAACTTTTTGTTGCAGTGCACTCTTTTCTGATAGATTTATGTCTTCCTTCTTTCACAGAAACCACTGACATCAACCAGCTCATCAGCACAAACTCTCCTGAAAGTTGTCAGATCTTCCTGAAAAACCTGCAGAAGAGAGGAGACCCTGGTTCAGACCCGGCGTTTCTCTCCAAACTCCTGGACTGCTACTCTAAAGTGTTCGCCAGGTTTCCTTTGGCAAAGCATTGCAAAACTGAAAGCTATGCTCGAATGCTGGTGAGATATGCAGAGCTGAAAGGGTGAGTCAGTGGTGGATTGCACTAAGTCTCATGTCAGCAGCTGATACTTTGAGTAATTTATTCTTCGCCACCTCTACAGAATCGAAGATCCAGAAGACGCTCCAGATCATTTCAGTATTGCCAGATTGCACAGTAAAGCTTTTGCTTTTGTGCATATCGCACATGCTCAGTTTGAGCTCTCGCAAGGTAAAACATGACATTTGTTGGTTTAGTAAGAATATGGTACTTTAAAGACCCCATGCAATTAAAAATGCACTTCTTTTGTCCATTTTCATTAGCTTTGTATGCAAGTGTTTGCCTAGAATAATCACTTTCTGCAGGTACATGCTAAATTTAGCATCAGAGAAGATGGACCAAATATACTGATTACTTCTATTGTATTTATGGGTGTTTTTACATTGGGAAGTAGGATCTTTCGAGATGCGTGGATGAAAATTGGATCATTTCTTTGGGTCTTTTTAAGAGTAAAGGTGCACGGTATTGCAGTATGTTTAAAGCCAGTGTTCTTGAAATCTCTCAGGTAAAACTCATCTGCTTCCTGCTGAGCACGAAGAGAACGCTGCAGGTTAATCTCATTCTTTTCTGTTAAAGGAGACGTTTTGTTCCTCTCTGAGGTGCACTTTAGAGCTTTGTCTGTGTTTTGTTTTTGCTGCAGTGTTTTCACACTGTAATCGCTCTCGCTGGAGATCTGTCTGTCTCTCTGATCTACAGTCCACTGCAGTCGAGTGGTCCGTTTGTTTGAGGTGGACTTCAGTGTTGTTCACACGAGACTCATTTATGCGTTCTGTCATTAGGGGTCCAAGCATCAGAGATTTACATAGAAATCTATGAGCTCCAAAATACTTAAAGATAATTTTTACATTGAAAACATTTTTGTCAAGGTGCAAGACTGAATGCATTGCTGTCGAGTTAAAATTAATTCATTTGTGTATTTCAATATAATGCATAGAATAATACTTCCACAACTTTGATAATTCACTGAAATCATATTATATTGTTATAATATGGCCATTGTGTTACCATATCGTCTACATGAGCCATTGGTGCTCATACCCTGGTAATCACCGTTAACAGCTACATTTAATAATTCATTAGTATGATTATTTTAAAAAAATGATATATTTAGTCTATACTGACATCTTTGGTCCCTGCATCATATTTTCAGTATCTTACAGCAGATTTTTATTTTTTTAATTTATATATTTTTTATTGAAACATCTTTTTCACACTTTTGTCTCCAATCCAATGGGATTTATTATTATTATTATTTTTTTTTTTACATTTTAATGTTAAGTGCTCCAAATCAAAACATTTATTATTACATATAAACCTAAACATGAGCATATTTAATATTGTCTATATTTAGTTATAAAGGAAATAGCAAGCTGTCATTTTTCAGATGCTTTAAGTGATTAACAGTGTGCTTATTACACTAACATGTTTAGGGCTACTTGACTGGAGTAGCCCTGGGTTACATACAGTAAACTTTTGTTTTTCTATAAAGTTAATGCTAATTATTACAGACTAATGCAACCCTAACCCTACACCTATGAGACATTTCACATTTTTGCAATACAAAAACATTGATTTCTTGTTGAGTATGTTCTAAGGTTAACATGAAAAATGCTTGTTCAAAAAATGTGTTTGGTTTTGCAGAAAATGTGGAAGCACTAAGTAACAGAAAGGAAGAAGAAAATCCAATAAAAGCTCCTGAGGAGCAGCAAAAGCCTCTTGCCAAGGAGACTTCATCAGAATGGAAGATTCTTACTCTCATCAACAGACATGCGTCTCCAGAGGTCTGGTTACAGCTCACACTTTTGTGTTTGATATTTGAGCTCAGAATGATTAAAGTCGACTCGGCTGGGATTGCTTCATGATCAGTCTGTTTTGTGGCTCTATTCAGGATCGTAAAGCTCCTGCAGACCTTGTTTCCTCTTCATCCTCACTTCATGCTCTGAGAACACCTGTGCCTCCCAGAGTACACCCCTCTCTCAGCTGTCAGACTCCCAACTACAAAGACCCCAATGCAAACAGGTAAAAACACAGCAGAGCTCATGGATTAGACGTGACTCTTCATCTTCATCCCTCAGAGCCGGGTGTCCTGCGTCCCGCAGCCGTCACAGGTGAAGACATCACGTATATATCAGAAACATGAGACGGACAGAGAAATGTGTAATAGAGAGAACTAGAAGAGAGAAACTTAATTCTTTTAATTTGGATAGAAAAAATGCAGAGCAGATTAAGGAGTATTAGTTGCCAAGGTATCATTTGTTAATTTAATTTAACTTGAAGTACAAAAAAATTGTATAAACTAAAACTTAAAAAATGCAGCAAAATGACTAAAACTTTAACTAAAATTAATATGAAAAAACAAAACAAATTTAAAACCTTATTCAAAATATTAACGAAAACTATAGTAGTGTATCAATGATACTAAAATAACACTTAAAGTCTTAAAGTCAGTGTGGTATGACTTGAGTAAATGGTAATTACATTTCTTGATGAGCTGTTCCTTTAAGAGACCTCCATAAAGTCAGCTTTTTTTGCTGGGGATTTTGTTGCATCCAAACCTTGACTTTCTTGATTTTAATTTTGAAGGAAACCGATAATTCAGTTAAAAACAATGTAGAGTGAGACCTATGGCAAGCCATCTTAATAAAATGAAAATCCTTACAGTTACAGTTTACTAGTGGCTTCATTTCTGCCTCGTTTTCTGTGAAATATTGAATAAATTTAACAATCTGCGATCTTTGACCCTCAGACCCCCGCCTCCGCTTTCTCAAACGAATCCATCACAATCAAGGGCAAACAGTTCTTCATTTTCAAGATGATCGGCCGCGGCGGGTCCAGTAAGGTACGAAAGAAATGATGCATGACTGTATTCTCTGTGTGATTTTTCATTTATATCTGATCCACTGTGTGTAACAGAAATAATTGTGTTTATTTTCAGGTGTTTGACCATAAGAAGCACGTGTATGCTTTGAAGCATGTGAATCTAGAGGAGGCCGACGCTCAGGCCGTGGAAAGCTATAAGAATGAGATTGAGCACTTGAATCATCTTCAACAGTACAGTGACCAGATCATTAAACTCTATGACTAGTAAGTGTGTTGTGATTGGAAACCGTGCCCTAGCTGTTCTAGTGTGCTCCTGATCACATGACTTCCTGTTGGCTCGCAGTGAGATCACCAGCAGCTGCATCTACATGCTGATGGAGTGCGGTCACCTGGATCTCAACACCTGGCTGCGCAACCGCAAGTCCGTCAACCCTCTGGACAGGAAGTGCTACTGGAGGAACATGCTGGAGGCTGTGCACACCATCCACAGACACGGTGAGGGACTCTCTGAACCATCACTGTTACTCCTGATTTGAGCAAAGCATTCGGGGTTGTTCACACAGAATGCGTTCTTGCATTTAAAAAAAGCACACAGCACTACGGAACAGAAAAGAGCACAGGATTTCGAAAAGATGAACTTCTTTAACTTGACATTCTAAACATCTAAGCACGAATGGTCAAAGACGTCTGTCAAGTTCACACTGCAAAAAATTATTTTCTCTTTCAATGCTTTTGTCTTGTTTTCCAGTACAAATATCTAAACATTCTTCCCGTTTAAAATTTAAAATGTATCAAAAGTGAGTTTATGTTTTTATAAGTTTCTTGTTTTAAGAGTAGCTTAATTTTGATATTTGACTTCTGTTCAGTGAACTATATCTCAATATCTCAAGTCATTTTGCATCTCAACTAATCTTGATTTTAAGAATATTTGTACTGGAAAACAAGACAAAAATACAGAGTAAGAAAATCATTTTTTGCAGTGTTACTTACTGCTACACAGCAAAAAAAAAAAACTCTTACATATTTTTGTCTTGTTTACCAGTCACAATGTCTAAACGTTCTTAAATCATACATTAATACATTAACATTATACATTAATATTATATTAATACATTAATAGATACATTAATTTAAGAAGCAAACTAGCATAAGGTATTAAGCCTTGTTTTCTGAAACATGTATCAAAATTAAGTGAGTTTTAACAAGAATAAAATATCTGCCAATGGGGTAAGAAAAATAATCCTGTTTTCCCTTTGAGTTACATTTATTTTTCTTACCCCATTTACTTGTTTAAAGCATAAACTTACCTAATTTTGATTTTTCTTTAACCCCAGAAAACCAGACTTAATATCGTATGCCATTGTCTTACTCCAATGAATGTTTCTTGATTTAAGAATGTTTAGATATTTGTAATGGGAAACAAGGCAAAAATACTAAGTAAGAATGTTTTTTTTTTTTTTTTTGCAGTGTATAACACTAGGGCCTACCTGCAAGTCTCTATTTTAGATAACACCCAACTTTAAAGAAGAAAAAAAATATCTGTCAGTGTGGTAAAAAAAAAAAAGTTAAATGATCTTGCTTTCCCTTTTAATTTTTCTTACTCCACTGACCAATATTTTTACTTGTTTTAAGCATAAACTCACTTAATTTTGATATTCTTCACAAAACAAGACTTTTTTTTTGCTTCTCAACTCAACTAAGAATTTTTAGAAATCTTTACTGAAAATAAAAAAATTAAGTAACTAAGCAAAAATACTAAACACTGTTGAACATGTAATCCAGTTTATTTATGCATGTCTCTGTTTAATTGACGAATTTCGTTGCGTTTTTCATTTGAAGGTATCATCCACAGTGATTTAAAGCCAGCTAATTTTGTGATTGTGGATGCTTCGCTGAAACTGATCGATTTTGGGATCGCTAACCATATTCAGCCTGACGTGACCAGCATCATGAAGGACTCGCAGGTTCGACCAGAACTGATCTAGTATTACACAAGTTATATTTCTCGACTTCCCCGATATCCCAGAGAAGGACCTGCTCGATGTGCTGAAGGTGCGCAGGATGTTTGGCTGTGCTGATCAGTCGTTTAATGACCCCTAGTTAGTGCTCACCGTCTGTCTCTCTGTTGTCCGTTTCAGAGGTGTTTAGTTCGCAATCCTAGAGAGAGGATTTCCATAGCAGAGCTCCTCGATCATCCGTACCTGCAGCTGCAACCTGCACCTGAGCCAGGTACAAACTACAGTCTCATTTCACTGAAAGCAATCACAAATCTAAAGCAGTATGAAATCAGAGCAGAACATCTGAAATTAATCAAGTCATGACGTTAAATGAGTATCTTCCTCAGTATTTTTGTTTTACAAATATCTTAACATCCTCAGGTCAAGATACGTTTACTTGAGATTCAAAATTAAGAAAGTCTTGTTTTCTAAGAAATTGAACAAAATTAAGTGATTTTATGCTTAAAGGGGTCATATGACGTTGCTAAAAAGAACATTATGTTGTGTATTTGGTGTAATGCAATGTGTTTATGCGGTTTAAGGTTCAAAAAACACATTATTTTCCACATACTGTACATTATTTTTTCTCCTCTATGCCCCGCCTTTCTGAAACACGCCTATTTTTTACAAAGCTCATCGGTCTGAAAAGCGAGGTGTGCTCTGATTGGCCAGCTATCCAGTGCATTGTGATTGGCCGAATACCTCAAGCGTGTGACGGAAATGTTACGCCCCTTACCATACTGTGATGCCGTGTCCCAGCAGGACGAGACTCAGTCCAGCTGCTCTGCTCGTGCACATCCCATCATCGGTTCTCTTTTAGCAGTTCAGTCAATGTACTGTTAGGAGTAACCGAATAAATCGGGATATTGGTTTATTTCGTGTCAGAGGGGCGTTATGCAAATCTTCCCACATCGTGACGTAGACATGTGGGGGCGTGTTAGAACGAGCTGTTTTAGGTAGGCGTGGTTGACTCTTAACTTTTATAAAGAATATCTCTTTGGATTTGAGACTTTAGTCTTTGCAACTTTACAGATCTTCTTTATGCACCAAGAGCTTGTAACACTTCAAAGAGAAAGGAACAATTGAAATCGTATCATATGACCCCTTTAAAACAAGAACAAATATCTGTCATTGGGAATGAAAACGTATTTTCCCTTTGAATGAAGTTGATTTTTTTGAGCCCATTGGCAGATATTTCATCTTGTTTTAATCATAAACTCACTTCATTTTTTTTTTTTACTTCACAGAAAACAAGACTTTTTATCTTATGTCTCAAGTAAATGTCTCTTGTTATAAGAATCTTTAGGCATTTGCACTGGAAAACAAGAAAAAAACAATTTTTTGCAGTGTAATCAGTATGTTCAGTAAAAGGTATTTCTATATCCTAGCGGTTGTGATCCAAAACGCCAAACGCTTTTTTTGTTGTTTTTTTTTGTGTAAAATATTAAAAAGCAATGGAGATCTGTTATACAGATAGAAGCTGTATTTTTCAAGTTTAAAGCCTTGCTAATACAAGACACTGTGCTCCCTAGACATTTAGGAGAGTGTATTGATGTATTACGTTCCCTTCAGTTTATTGAAATGTTCCTTAAATTACTTCAATATTCCTCCATAAAGTGTTGCTTACAGGACCTTTTTTTTTTGACAATATATCAATAATTTTAAATGCATTTCTTAAGAATGCTATTTATTTCTTTATATGTAAAACTTTACATATAGATATTACTTGGTGTACCTTTGAAAAAAAACAAAACATTTTTTTAAAGCAATGTTAACTAAATTTCTTGTATCTGATTACTCAACATGCATAAAGCAGATTCTGGCTGTTTTAATATGGTGATGATTGTTATATCACCGTCTCTTCCAGCAGAAGCGTGTGCCGGTGATTTAAAGAAGATCCTCAATGAACTGGCGGCTCTTCAGTCTCCCAACAGCATCGCCAGAGCTGCTAGTGTAAGTGATGATCAGTCCATCATTCGTCCCGAAACACCATCATACAGCACTGTGTGTATGATACCGCTGGACCATTTATAAACAAGAAGAAATTATAAAATAAAAACAATCAAAATAAAACGCATACTAAGGAAGTATAGCGGATTACTTGCAAAAAAATAAAAATAAATATCAGTCGTCACTCTATATCTCCAATAATGTGTGTTAGTAAGATGAGATTGAATTGATCCAAACATATAATGCAATGCAATCCAGTGATGATTGAGAGATGAACAAATAAACGCTCCTCAGAAGATCCTGAGGATCAGATTTGAGACTCTAAAACATGATTGATGGAGAATCAAGTAAAGCTGAGCTGCTTCAGTCCAGTAAGTGTTCATCTGGAGATATTACTGCAGTTATTCTGACCTTTACTTGATCAAAACCAGTCAAGATCTGACAGCTGAAAGACACGTGAAGCTCCAGCTGAAGCTGGACGTTTCTACAATTACACTAAAAGACCTTTTACCTGATAAAAAAAACTCTTAACTATCAATCAGACGACAGAAAGCATGCAGTAGATTGCGTGTGAAACAGGTTTAACAGCAAAGTTTTGATCATTTAGATTCTTTAGGAGTTTGCATATCAAATATAATGCAGTAGGCTTTTTAAGGTTGAAGCAAAAACATTATTGAAATGTTCTTTTTAACCATCTTTTTCTATTACTGCTGCAGAACCTGGCCAAGATGTGCAACAGCGGGAGGAAGTTAGATGTTTCTGAATGTGTGAAAACGTCCAGTCAGACGCTGTGGAAATGACGAGGATGGAGATGATGAAGCCTGCAGGACTCAAAACCACTGTTCCTAAACGCTCAGGAGCCGCTGAGACAAATGTCTCGCACCTTAAACAAGCTGTCAGTCAAAACTGCTTTCACTAGCTGCCATCGTGCTTAACACTTCCCTCGAGACGCGTTAAACAAATTCATGTTTGTTGTCCGTTTCTTCCTAACTGTTTCTGATTTTATTTGACTACATGATGTGAGCTAAGAAAGTGTACATGACAAATAAACACACCTTGTCAGGTATATTCCAAATGTAGTATTCTTTTGTTACATATAATAATGTTTTCTTGGAAGTAACTGTACTCTAGTTTTGCAAAATGACATGTTTTCACGGCCATCTCATTATTCAGTGTTTATTGTCTTGATACCATTTCGTCAGAATGCATGATTACTTTTTTGTGTTCGTCAATGGATTAAAATACTTTGTACATTTTGCATTTATAGAATATTCTTGAAAGCTCCCCTTGAATATTCCACCAAAACAAATCCCACCAAAAATGATCTCCCTTCCTGTGTGATGGCATCAAGGAATTGACTTTGGTTTAAGATACTACAAAAAGAAAATTGTGGGGACCAAAACCATAATAACTGAAAAATATTCTCTCCCAAAAATGTGCTGTTTGAAACATTTTAGTTTGTGATGATATGATTATTTTATAATATATTAGCACATATGCATTAGTTTACCCAAAAATGAAAATTCTCTCATTTACTCACCCTCCACTTGTTCCAAACCTGTACGAGTTTCTTTCTTCTGTTGAACACACAAGAAGATACTTCGAAGAATGTTGATTGACTTCCATAGTAGGAAAAAAAAAATACAGTGGAAGTCAATGGCTGCCATCAGCCGTCTGGTTACCAACATTCTTCAAAATATCTCCTTTTGTGTTCAACAGAAGAAAGAAACTCATACAGGTTTGGAACAAGTGGAGGGTGGGTAAATAATGACACATTTAATTTTCAGGCGAACTATCCCTTTAAGAGGTTAAAGAGAATGACTCGGGCAACAAATAAACGTGATTTTTAAAATAAAGCCAAATATTCTGGATTTATTTGTCAAGTAATTTCGTGAATTGTGATATTCCAAGCTCAAATTATGTTTAATAAACTGTTACGATAAACCAGATAAAACGATTAGAACATTATGGGTGTCTCAAAACCTCTAGACAGCGTTTTCTTCACTGCGCTCTAGGTTGAAACGCGGCCCGTTTGTGACGTACGCCGTCAATCAAAACTCCTCCCACTCGTCCAGCCAATCAGAGCGGCGCTTGTCCATGTGAGCGCTGACGTCAGAGCGCTCTTCCTGCTAGGCTTCCAGCGCAATGGCGTCGACGCGGCTGTTTCTGAGAGCTTCACCCGTTAAGTCTTCGTTAACCGGGTTAACCGGCGGCGTGCGCAGCAGTTTGGGGTTAACTCTGCTTAAACGGTCCCCTGACTGCACAGCCAAGCCGAAAGCGCAGAGGAGACATGCAGCGCACTTCTCCTATCACCCCGACCCTGCGCCTACTCAGTACGGTAAATGCCCTTGTTTACACTTTACAGTGGAGCTGCAGAACAGGAAAGAAGGACTCGTTATTAAATAATATTCATAATACGTAAGCCTGGCTTTGCTGTGGTGTCAGTCTTGCTCTCAAATACACACTGACTGAGTTTTGTCATTATGCACAAATGAATAAATACAGTGCTTCGAAATTAATATCATAAAAGTAATTTCAAACAGTGACCACAACAGTACTTGACATGTAACTTATGAGGTGATTGGGTTAGTTTGCTAAAGTGGAATGAGCACATCATTTCATAGAGGCTGGACGGGGAAAAATAAGATAAAAATAAATAAACTATTTTATGAAAAGACTAATTAGTTGTGTTAAAAGCCTACAACTGACATTTTTTGACAGTTCCCTTTATTAAAACAGTTAATATCTTAAGTCATACTTGTATGTCATATTCATATTATATGAGTACGGTATCCATAATTGCACACATACATGCATAATCGCTGCATATCATTGTAATATAAATTATTGTATTTTGTTACAAATTTTCCACATAAAATGTCAATGAGTAGAACATTAATGCATTGTAATGCTGCCGTTTTACTTTTTATTTTTAAATTATAGTTTCATTAAGTAAGGTGCTAAGGTGTAAAATGTCAAAATTATGCCAATAATGCATAATCAGCATGCACACATTTGCATATGATGCTGTTTAAAAACCAAAATGACACAATCAACATCTCTGTGGTTGGTAATTTTCAGACCTTTTTGCTGAATGATTATTTGTGTAAACCTGCCTTATGCTGCCTAATGTCTATGTTTCCTGAGGTTCACTTATAATGTTAGTAATATATATATTTTTCAGTGCATATAAACCGACAATACCTGTATTACCAATGCATCTGCAAACAAAACGCAAAACCACAAACCCTCCTCTGACGTTTACTAGCAGCGAAATAGAAGATTAGGTGTTTATAGCTGACACTTACTGTACGATTGACTTGAGTGTCGCCGCAGGCCCCACACAGAAGATGAATTTGTTCCAGTCTGTGACCAGTGCCTTGGACAACACGCTCGCCGGCGATCCCACCGCAGGTACGAGAGCAGCTTGACCTCTCATTTCATCTGACTGACTGTAACTGAGGGTCTTGAGTGCGTCAGCTGGTGCGATATATGAACACCTCTGTCTCCTGCAGTGATTTTCGGTGAAGATGTGGCGTTTGGTGGGGTGTTTCGATGCACAGTCGGCCTCAGAGATAAATACGGTGAGTTTTCATGCTCCTAGGACACACGAGGTGAAGTGTGCTCATCTGTGTGTTGTGTGCGCTCACACTAGATGGCAGCACAGTTCCTGCCTGAAGACTGAGTTTAGAATGAAATACCTGCTTACTATTCACTGTGTACTGCATACTTCAAACATAAGCAGTACACGGTAAATTGTAAGCAAGCTGAGTGTGAGTGGTGACAGTTTATCAGCTGGGAAATATAAATGTTAAATGTTTCGAAATTTAATTTAGAAATTTGAAATTGGTTTTGTGTAACAATGTTCTATTTTTGTGAGAATGATCAAATGACGAGTTAAAAAAGAGATAAAAAAATAGGGTTATTTATTAAATAAAACTACAACTCAAACCATAAACAACGTTTCCATTACCTGAAAAAAAAAAACATTAATTGAAAAAAACAAAATAAAATTTCAGCTATTATAGTTCTCATTAAGTACTGAGATAATTAAAACTAAATAAAAACGAAATCTTATTATAAACTATATAGACACAATTTAAATAAACTAATAAAAACGACAAACAAAATTACTAAACCTTTAATTAAAATTAAAATGACAACAGAAAATATAAAAATAAAATCGTGAGTGTGTGTGAGTGTGTGTGAGTGTGTGTGTGTGTGTGTGTGTGTGATAAAATAAAATATTATCAAAAGCTATAATCAGTGATACTAAAATAACAGTGCTTGTGATCACTTTGTTCATCACACTGGAAATGTAAAGTTAGGTTGAGTGCAGTGCATTGTGGGATGCAGTAATTCATGCAGTGTGTCTGTTGTATTCTGCACATTTGGCCATTTAGTGTCTGTCTTGATGTAATTAGTTGCTAGTATGTTAATCGGTCATCGAGGTAAAATGTTAAAGCTGCATAAATAAGCATGAACTTAACCTTGAGGTCAGATCTTGTCCTGTATCTAAATAAAGGAAGTAAATAAAACAAATAACACTAAACTTGTATATTTTCTTGTACAATTTGTATATTATTAATTTGTTAAGCAAACATCCAAGAATGAATGATTTGCTGGAAAAAGCATGTGACTCTTTGCCTTTATTATATGGTAAAAACTTGAGTTCTTAAGCACAAATAACTGTAGATCAGTCCAGAACATTGGCTTTGTTTGAGCCAGTCTTCGTTAGACACTGATTCAACTCTGATTGAATGATGGCAGGAACTGCTTTCAGGTGTTTCTCTAACATTTCTCTTTAGTTAAGGTTGGAACTATGACTTAGCCCTTACTAATCATTACATTTCTTCTGCTTTAATCATTCACTGGTGAACCGCTCATGTGTTCAGAGTCATTGTCTTGATGCAGGACCCAGTTAAAGCTTTTGGACCATTTTTTTTTCTGATAGAAAGTAATAGTTTTATTCAGCACGGATGCATTAAATTGATCAAAAGTGACAGTAAAGACATTTATAATGTTAGAAAAGATTTCTATTTCAAATAAATGCTATTCTTTTGAACTTTCTAGTCATCAAAGAATCCTGATAATAATAATCATGTTTCTTGAGCAGCAAATCAGCATATTAGAATGATTTCTGAAGATCATGTGACACTGAAGACTGGAGTAATGATGCTGAAAATACAGCAGCGCATCACAGAAATAAATTACAGTTTAAAATATAACGTATTTAAAAAAAAGAATAATAATATTTTCACTATATTCACCAAGGGGTTAATGAGATGATTCTGATAACACATCTATAAATACAATGTGTTTACTGTATATACTGGTTAAATATTAGGTTGTTGTCTTGCATCTTGAATCCGGTCAGTTCTAATGTTTCATCTAAAAAGACGTCTGACTTGTTTAATATAGAAACAACATTGAAACGGGTTATTTTCTTTGTTGTAACCAGCTTGTTTTCTAATCTGGTGTGATATGCACATGACATTTTGATAATTTGCATTTTCCTCTGAATATTCATGCACAAATTGCTCTGTTAAAGCTCCTCTAAACCAAATTTAATATGTGCTTTCAGTAGAACATCATAATGTTTGTGTATTTGCGCTCTTTGCCATTCATTTTGTTGCACTTCATCAATTATGCAAGAGTAAATGAAGTAGATTCAGATTGAACAGAACACCCTCTACAGTTTTCACAAGCCATAAATAGTTAAATTATGCGGCCGCAGAGAGTCGGGAAAGAGGAGGAAAACAGACATTATTGTAATGATTAAAAAAAAAAGACATCTGCTGTTTGCCACTCGTTTTGGAAAGAAGCGCTATATATTGAGACACTCTGTGATGTTTTGAAATAAACACAGATCCGCGACTCCAATATGACTCCCGCCGCGTGGGTGCCTTTTGTTTGCTATTGACGTCGGAGGTGTTGACCTTTGAGAGGGATCATTATTTTCCATGCCGTCTCATTAGACGGGAACGGGGTTTTCGTGGCACTCATTTGAGAGCGTCTCTGCTCTCTTTCCCGCGTGGTGCAGATGCAGGTCAACATGTGAAAGACTGACGCACACGCGGCCGTAATGCAGTGCCACCGCTGACCGTCTGAACACGCAGCTCCTTCTGTCTGCTTTAAATTGCTTTCTGTGAAGTGGATTGTGGACTGCGGCCGGTAAACACTGTATTATCTCTGAAATGCCCATCAGCTGCCTGTTGAATGCATTCCTTACTCAACAAAGAAGCTTTTTTATTTCGAGGACTGACCGATTTGTGAGTTGACTAAAACTTTGAAATGACCAGCAAATTCCTGTTCTTTTGCATTATTTAAAGGATCGTTTCAGGTTTAAAATTAGAAAAGCTTGATGGACTGCGTCGATTACCACACAGAGTCATTTGTGAGCCTGGAGCACAAAAGCAGTCTTAAGTCGCTGGGGTATATTTGTAGCAATAGCCAAAAATACATTGTATGGGTCAAAATTATTGATATTTCTTTTATGCCAAAAATAGGATATTATTTAAAGTAAATATAGGATAAATATATTTAAAGTAAATATAGGATATTAAGTAAAGATCATGTTCCATGAAGATATTTTGTAAATTTCCTACTGTAAATATATCAAAACTTAATTTTTGATTAGTAATATGCATTGCTAAGAACTTAATTTGGACAACTTTAAAGATGATTTTCTCAATATTTAGATTTTTTTGCACCCTCAGATTCCAGATTTTCAAATAGTTGTATCTCGGCCAAATATTGTCCTATCCTAACAAACCACACATCAATGGAAACTTATTTATTCAGCTTTCAGATGAATGTATACATCTCAATTTAAAAAAATTGACCCTTATGACTGGTTTTGTGGTCAAGGGTCACATTTTGACTTGTTTCTCGGTTTGTAGAAACAAGCAAATCATGTTTGCAATGGAGGTTTATGGGCCAAGACGTTCTGGAGGGTTTAAAAGCAGAAATGTGCACCTTGTATTTTTTGTTAGAGTGCTTATTTTATATGCAAATCTGTTATTCTGCAGTCGTTAAGTCTAAATCGTCCTTCTGCATTCTCGGTGGATGTGCATGTTAAGCCTGCTTTAAGATAATACCTTGACAGATTGTACGATAAATTGTAGCCAAGATGTCTAGCCACAATTCAGCGTTGTCAGCGGGTCGTACACTGGATGTTAGGGGTGGGAATCTTTAGGCACCTCACAATGCGATCCTCTTCCAATTCTGCGAATCACGATCCGGTTCCAAAATGATTCTTCAGCTACTACTTTAAAAAAAATTTTTTTTTATTAATTAATAGGTTTACCAACTTTGAATGTCAAATTTATTTGTGTGTTTTCATTAAATTACATATGTAAGTACTTTTTAAAATAATTACAAATTAACTCCCCGCCAGCGTTACAGGAGACATCGGACGCCCATTTTCCACAAGTTGGTATGATTCTTTAGGGTCTTCATGAAATGTCTGCAACATACTTTGGTTAAAATTCCTCAGCGGTTGTGTAAAACAACACCCCTTTAACCTTGTCAAAAACAGCTGTGTTCACAGCGACTCATTTCGGTGCATGTCTCTTTAAATGCTAATGAGCTACTGCTCACCCCGCCCCTCTCTTCAGTGGAAGAGGAAAGGCGATTTGCAAATAATCATAAGAAATATAAAGTGTGGGACTGACTTCTTCTGGAGGTGCAGCTGGATCATGAACAGTGGGTACTGATCCATCCTTGAGTTTGAACTTTTTAGTTTTGAATTGTCTCTCGTTCAGAAAGCAGTCTGGAGTAAAATGATTTGCACAAACATAAACGCATTTATGTAGATCGGGGGGCGCATTCCCTTCAAAAACAAAAGTAATCCACTGCGTCTTCAGCGGCTCAGATGTCGGGAGTAAATGACGACTGCTATGTTAATTATTACATCCAACAACAGAACACCTCAATCGCTTAGGAGCCATTCTTGTCTACATCTGGTGCGGCGTCGAAACGATGATGGACTGTTTACAGCTCACTCAGGGCGGGTCTATGCTAAAACAGCAGTGTCCGTCAACAGTCGTGGGAGGGGCCTGTGCAAAGTGAAGTCACTTTGCCCAGATTCTTTGAACGGCTCGCTCTGAGAAAGTGCTTATGATTTGTGGGGATTTAAATTCAAACACCATGTAAAAGTGAATTTTGCGTCCGATGTCCCCTTTAAAAAAAAAAAAACGCCAGCATTTTTGATCATTTTCACAAAATCTTCATGGCCCCCAGAATATTTTGTTGTATGAATATTTGAACATGCAATATGTCAAAAGAAAGAACAGAGTCTCTGCTTTTAAACAAACAAACACAACTCATTTTATTCTAGCTTCATGAATTATTTTTTATCAACACTTGAATGTGGGCAAGTTTCATTCTTGAGGACCACATATAAAAAAAAAAAAAAAAAAAAAAAAGCTCCTGAACAAAAGGCTGAGAAGACCGCATTTTTGTCAAAGACAACATCCAGATCAGATTCAGAGCAATAATCCAAACACAGATGGAGTAGATCACTACTTCAACTAGTGTTGTCACGGTACCAAAATTTCAGTATTCGGTACACATCTGTAAACTGTTGTCTGTTTTAGGGTTTGCTGGTGTTTCAGGATCTTCCTCAGTCTGCAGCTGTAAAAGAACAATATAATATACTTCAGTAAAGCAATGGGCTGAGTCTGACCAAATGCAACATAAGATCATTGACACCAGCTAAAATATAACTTTTCAGGAAATAACAAACCTCAGCTGTTATAATAAATTTAGATAAGATTGCATATATTAAGTGTATATCAAATAGATGGAAACTGTAGTATTAAAAACACTTTACAGTAAGATTTTATTTGTTAGATAACATGACCTAACAATAAACAATAGTTATATGGCAATTATTCTTCTTAGGGTTAATTTCAAAGTTCAATCTGTTAAAATTATTTAATGCACAATGAACAAACATGAAACCTGCTATTGCCCTTGCATTCTGCTTTAACCATGAAACCTTCTGCAAGTTTATATGTGACCATGCACCACAAAACAAGTCATAAGGGTCAATTTTTCGAAATGATATTTGGCCGAGATACAACTATTTGAAAATCTGGAATCTAAATATTGAGAAAATTGCCTTTAATAAAGTTGTCCAAATGAAGTTCTTAGCAATGCATATTACTAATCAAAAATTAAGTTTTGATATATTTACAGTAGGAAATTTACAGAATATATTCATGGAATATGATCTTAATATCCTAATGATTTTTGGCATAAAAGAAAAATCAATAATTTTGACCCATACAATGTATTGTTGGCTATTGCTACAAATATACCCCAGCGACTTAAGACTGCTTTTGTGCTCCAGGGTTACATATTCTTATTCAGTGTTGTGTGTGTGTGTGTGTGTGTGTATTTGGCAGTAAGCAGAATACGGCTGTTTCTAGCACACACAAGTGCCATCTATATTATTGTTTTTCTCTAAATAAAGCATAGACTTCATTCAAGTCACCAAAAGACAAATGTGCTGAAAAACCTTCCAGTCTGGGTCATTATGTGCATTAACCACAATTTGAGGCACTTAACAACAATTGTTGCAGCACTTCTCGTCCAGTACAAGACACCTTCTATTGTCTTATGCATCAAAGAAACAAGCACGCAGCCATCTTTAGAATTCTGTCTTTGATCCTTCGTTTTTTGGAGTAGCTCTATTGCATCGCTGTTGAGGAGTAATTAGCTGGTGAAGTGGATTTACTTATTGTCGAGTTAATGAAAGTTATCTTGAGCATTGTAATGTTTGAAAGGGATGTCATAACAAATGTCAGTAGACCGGGAAGATTTTAAAATGAGCGGTTCATTCATAAATTGGTACAAGCTTACCTTCTCACTCTGGAAATACAAACGGAAGACAGAAGATAACGAGCGCAGCGCTGAAAAGAGGCGGAGCTACAAAAGGACTATAAGAGTGCAAAACTGCCAGAACTTAAGATTCATCACAAAATGTCACGCTAAGTTGTCAGAGGCTCACAATTTTACTTTACGACAACTGAAATCCTTTATGCGCTTAGAAATAAAGGTGTTTTCACAGTCATGCCTTAGAAGAACCATCTGGGGTTCCCCGAAGAACCTTTCAGTGATCATTTCTTAAAACAGGGTTGTCCAAGCCTGCTCCTGGAGGGCCATTTTCCTGCAGAGTTTAGCTCCAACCCCAATCAACAAGGTCTTCAGACTCACTAGAAACGTCCAGACAAGTGTGTTAGGGTGGGTTGGAGCTAAACTCTGCAGGACGTTGAGGAGCAGGATTGGACACCCCTGTCTTAAACGAGCCATTATTTCTTAGCGTAAAAACATTTTAATAATCTAAAGAAAGAACCTTTTCCCATTGTAAAGAATCTTTTTTTTTTTGGAATGGAAAGGTGCCCTGAATGTTAAATGCTCTTCATGGATAGGGTGACCATACGTGCCATTTTTACGGGACACGTCCTGGCCAGGATTTCTATATTTGGCTTTGTTTTCCTGTTTTCATACTTGCTGAAGGTAATGATCGGAAAGTAGCTTGACCAATAACGTGCAGGCATTGTACATAATCGACCAATCGTGGCACGTGAGAAGGTGGGATCTACAGAGAACGGTCGAAGCGATGCAAAAACACATACAGATTAGATGTGTTCGTTCGTTCGACTTGAAGCAGCGCTGCGCAGACCGATCGTTGTATGACATCAAAGTACCGCGAGAGCGACTCGAAAGCATAAGGATACGTCTGCTCTCTATTATAGCTCTTACGGATGTCATACACCGATCGGTCTGCGCAGCGCAAACAGCCAAAACCTGGATATTTTAGGCAATGTAGAAATCCTGGCCAGGACGTGTCCAATAAAAATGGCACGCTTGGCCACCCTATTCATGGAACCATCGATGCCAATAAAGAACCTTTTTATTTTTAAGAGTGAAGGATCCCAGAAATTAGTCTCAGATGGCAAAATCATGGCCAAAATCATACAGTGTGCAATGAATCATGATAGCTTGCCACTTTGACATTATAACTTTATTACTGTGAAATGCAACTTTGGCTTGTTTTCATAAACTGTGAAAGGCATCAGTGATTTTGTGGTAATCGGCAGCATGTGTCCATAGAGGTGAACTTGAGTTGTGCCCAGAACAATCCGTTAACTGCTTTTACTCTGTGTTGTGTAGAAAGAGTTTCATGCATGATTTCACAGAAGTGTCACATCTTTAGTTATTCTTTATGTGTTAGTGAAGCTTCAGTGGAAGAGACGTTCATGTGCTCTGGTATGAATGAAAATAACTTTCCGCTGTAAATATAGAGACTATTTCATGTGGTTCTTTACTGCGTTTAAGGGGAAGCGGAAAACAGACTTTTTGTGTTTTCCTGATCTTGTGTATGTTTACCCTGTTTTGTTTTGTAATATAATTCAATTATGAAAAAAACTTTTTTGCAGCAGGTTTTATGGTTTGAGGTTAATGCTTCCTGCTTTGTACTACATAACATAAAAACCATAAAAAATCTTAAAAAATCTTAAAAGCACGGTCTGTTGAAGCATCATGGCAGTCATCAAAGCTTCAGCTGCAGCTGCATCACAGCCCATGTTTGCGTTTGTGTGCAAATGACTTGTAACTGACATCTTGTCTCATATGGCCTTGTTAGGAGCTTGTTTTGGATGAGCATGTCAGATTTGGTACTTGTTGTGAAGATGCTGATTAAAAACATGCTGATTTAGACTGATTTGAGTGCAGAGTAGGTTGACATTTACCTGGTCTCTCCTCAGGTAAGGACCGTGTTTTTAACACCCCGCTGTGTGAGCAAGGCATTGTGGGTTTTGGGATCGGCGCAGCTGTGGCAGGAGCCACCGCTATTGCAGAGATTCAGTTTGCCGACTACATTTACCCAGCGTTTGATCAGGTGAGCTTGTTTTCAAGAGTCTTTTTTTTTTTAAATAAACTTTGTCCTGGATATGTATTATAATTAAATAGTGTTAGTTCACCTACTTGTTCCAAACATGTATTTCCAAACTAGGCCTGGGTGATAAAACGGTATCGATATTTATCGACGGTACACCTTCATCGATTAACGATATAAACATTTTTCAATATAGCGCACGATATAGGCACGTGCTATGAGTGACGCAGACGGCTCACACAAACACGAACACATGCTGAAATGAGTGCTGTGCCTGCCTGTGATGAGGAGATTGTGAATAAAGAATGAATATTAGTCGAATTTAAAATAAACATTTGCATTTGAATGCAAAAATGGTACAATCGAATGTGAGGAGTGCATCTGGGAGCATCATCAGTGGTGCGCGAGATGCGATGATGATGATGTAAGTGACGTTGCATTTTAATGTTTTGTTAGTCTAGCCCACGAGACGAGCCGCTGCTGTATTATTCGTTCAAAATATTACAGAAATATAATAGCTCAATGCGGAGAAGATCTTGATTAGGTTAAAACCGAAACCAAGCCATTCACACAGAACGTATATTCAGCACATTTTTACATGGACAAATATAATTTATAATAATTAATTAATATAATAATAATAATGATTTATGCATTTAGCAGACGCTTTTATCCAAAGCGAGCCATTCACACAGAACGCATATTCAGAACATTGTTAGATGGACAAATATGACTGCTGCACTCGCGTCTCATGCAAGAGATGCAAAGAAAGTCATGCAAAGTTAAAACAGTTTTAACATTTAGAGAATGCAACGCGAATTTGTGAAGGTTTATTTAATTTCACTGCGTCGCATATGTTTTTAAATGCAATCTGTGTGATGGGTGATTTGGCTCTTTGTATTAGGCTAAGCAATGCATAAACACATGATGCTGTTTTGTTCATAATTGTTTATGCAGTTTACAAAATAATATTTGATTTACATATGTTAATTTAGACGTTATGCACGTTTTTATAGACCGTTATTTGAATTGACAATTGATGTGCTGCATTATTTTGCTTATTGCGTCCTCCTGTGGCCTCGGGAAACAAGTCAAAAGTTTCCTTAAGACTTATTTAATCTGCATATAAAACATAAGAAAGGAGATATTTGTTTCCATTTTATTTTATGTTTGACTGTAAAAAAAAAAGAAAAGATATACATTTGTTGTTTGTCTTAATAAAGTGGGCAAATAAAAAATACAGTGGTTAAATTACATTTTTTTTTCTATTGCTCTGTTTTAAAAAAGGTTATAAAAAATGTCAATAATTATATTATATTATAAGTTTGATACCGAACGATATGAAACATATATCGTTGATATATTTTTTAGCTATATCGCCCAGCCCTACAAACCCATTATATTTTCATTCATCTCAGAAATAGAAATGAAGGTATTTTTAATGAAACCTGAGAGATGTATTTTTTCCACTGAAAGGCTATTACACTAATATCCCAAATTCAGTTTTAATTTTTCTAGATTCCTTTTTTTTTCATTTAAATTTTTCTGGACTCCTTTTTAATGGTTAAATTTAAGTTTTATTAATCAAAAAGCATGTCTAATTAATTAAAATTGTGAAACTGGGGTGTTGATGAATTTTTCTCACCTTATGCTTTATTGTGACCAAATTCTGTGTTTTAGCATGTCTAATTATTTGAATTAATAAAAACAACTTAATTTATTCAAATTTATTCTAACAATGGCCTTATGAATTTTTTTTTTTTTTTTTTTTTTTTTTTTTTGAAAT